AGAAAACACTCCTCTATCTTTTAAGACTAAAGAGAACTTTCTAGCGTTCGTAGTTTTCAAGTAGTACTACGTTTTCTCTCAAAATCGACCGTTTTTACAAAATCTCGTATTTCTCGAAAACTAAGGGTGATGGAGCAATCGCACTTTTGGTTTCGTATTTAGGACGAGGAACCCTATAAGAATCACCTAGTGGATATCGCGGAACAAAAATCGTGTTAGACAGTGTAATTAGTCTCACTACTTGTCCACTCAATTTCCTTCACAACTGAAACTTTTTTCTCATCTTATTTCTATTTATTATATGCAAGACAACACAAATTATACAAACATGAAACAAAAAAGAACAACAAAAATCTAATGATAACAGAATAGAAAGTAATGAGTATGTTATAAGCACGAAAATTGACGAGTTCACCCTCGGAGGTTTGCGAGTTTCAAATTCAAAAGCACCGGTCTGCATACACCATTATTTCGATGCTACGAAAATTCAGATACTTATGATCACTGCACAGAATATTTGAATACTGAATCGTTAAGTATCTAAATAGTGAACGAATTATTTGTATACATATACAGGATGTGTCAAGAACGTTGGAGGTCCTTGAAAGAGGTGGTTCGGAGGGTGATTTGAAACAACTTTTGCCTTTGGGAAAATGTTGTCCGAGGCTTCTTTATGGAGATATTAACAGAAAACCCCGACCAATCGCAGTGCGAGTATGCCGGTGGAACGTTGGCTATGCGATAGGCGGCCACAGTAGCATAAGCTACCCATTAGACAGCCACAGTAGCATAGGCTACGCAGTAGACAGTCACAATAGTGTATGCTACGCTTTGACAGCCGCAGTAGCATAGCCGTGGATCTAGGTAAAACTAAGATAGTGGAGTAGGTAAAACAAAGAGCGCAGACGGTTTGGAACACTAATTTCAAATCGGTTGCGCTCGTGTGCGTTCGTCCTACGAAAAAGTTGTTTCAAATCACCCCCCGAACCACCCCTTTCAAGGACCTCCAACACTTTTGACACACCCTGTATTTATTCCAGCTCACGTTTTCGCATAGATATGCAAGATACACAAGGCGTATCGTTGAAATTGGAATGGTTGAATATCTCCTAAAGGGATGAAGCTGTCAAAAATATGTTTGTTACAAAAATGATTTGTAATATAAAGGGTTTTTCTCAACATGTGCATGTGTATGTGTAATAATTATACCATCTTCTTATGTACAAATAATTTTTTTAGCATTTCTTATATGTAATGGTAAATATACTGCTTCTAATTTATCGTCTAAGATCTATTCGATATCAAATTTCAAAGAGTCAAGAATCAATATCACTCCTATCGTTCGCACGCTTCGAGTTTTCAGGAGGGACGTGTAATTTATAATTTAAAAAATTAGATTTACCTCATGTTATACGAGGCGACGGCTGTCGCGAGGTCGGATGCTGCGAGCGCTGATAAAGATCCATCGAAATCAGCGGCAAGATGTTCTGCCAGTTCCTCCACTTGTGTCGACCAACCTTGCCCGGAACCATTGCTTCCGACAGACCCTGTGAAAGCAAGGAACGTCAAGTTGCTACAGTAGTAACAGTAGAAGTACCAACAGTAGTAGTCATTTAGTATTTCTTATATGTAATGGTAAATATACTGCTTCTAATTTATCGTCCAAGATCTATTTGATATCAAATCTCAAAAAGTTAAGAATCAATATCACTCCTAAAGGGATGAAGCTGTCAAAAAAATGTTTGTTACAGAAATGATTTGTAATATACAGGGTTTTTCTTAACATGTGCAGGTGTATGTATAATAATTATACCATCTTCTTGCGTAATAATTTGAAATGAAACCTTTCAATGCTAGACCCTGTATTATAATAAATAATCTTATACAATAGGTAGCATAAATTTGTGTAAACAAATATTGAATTTAACCGTTCCGCTTTGAACGAAATACCCTGTATAATAACACACAGTAATATACAACAACAAAATAAATAATCTAGAAATGATTCCACAGAGACTAGAAATTCCCCTAGAGTCAATAAATGAAAGTTTTGAAAAGCGTACTACTCTTCGAATCACAACAATATTTCGCACATTGAAACGCACTGTACATTGCACGATGTTTCCGTCGTTGGTATAAGTGACTCGTCGCTTTATCACGGTTTGAGAAACATTTTGCGCAATCTCTCCTATCCCTAGCACTCGACAGAGGAGAATTTCGCAATACCACGACCAATCAAGACTAGGACTCTATTTTTACCAATTCTATATTGTACCAGCTTGCGCGTTGGCATAATTAATGCAAAATTGATGATGCATGACCCCGATCCTAGACTTGGAGTCCTGGAGGGTCGTGACTGTGTTTCGTCGTCGACACTTGGATGTTATCGCCGAGTAACGTCGGCTCTGTAGCAAGGGTAGCCTGGAGCTGTCTCTCTCGCACCACTTCATTCTACGTTCTCCCGAAAGCAAACCGAAGGTGCTCTCACCGCTCGAAGGAACACCGCACCCGACACAGAATTTCTCTCGCACCAAAAACTACCGTCGTCTTCCGTCTTCTCTGTCTTTGCGCGAACGTAATGTGCGATACGCCGTCTACTCGAGAGTTATCGGTTTCAGCCGACCACGTGGTCGAAAAGGCGTCGAACGTAGCGAGTCGGGTACGACGCTTTTCACCAATCAGTTTCGAAGGGATCGTCGAAGTAGAATCAGCTGTCGTATTTCAAAAGGAAGGAAAGAAGTCTCGAATTAAAGGATCGTAACTATAGTCCAGACACTGAAAGGAAGCGATTTTTCCACGATTTATTTTTTTTCTTTTCTTTTCTTTTTTTTTTTTTTTGAGAGAAGAAGGTTCCACTTATTTTATTTGATTTGTAAAAATTGAACGGAGTAGGTCTTTGAGAATACTGTTGTATTTTTATTTTACGGAAATATTAATTTGTCGAAATGCTGTGGTCGATTTTTGAGACCATATTTGAAAAAAGTGTTGCTGTGATCGAGATATCTCTGGACTGGATTCTCCGAGATAAAAAAACAACGAAGATTTAGTTAATATAAGGTATAACATTGAGGTGTCGTTAATCGAATTCTTAAATAATTTTTAAGAAAAATTCGAACGTGTCTTTGAATTACGATATACATTTATTAAATTACATAGTTGAATTACTGGTAGTAGTTAAGTAATTGCAATTATTTCGGGAATATTGTTTATGCGCAATAAAAAGGACTTTGCAAGTATGCAAGTCGCCTCCAATTACTTTCTGAGCAGTTACAAGTAATTATTAAATTAAAAAGTATTGGGTTGTCCAGAAATTTCGTGGCAATTTTTAAGAAAATTTCAAATGTGTCTTTGAATTACGATAGATACTTATTAAATTACATAATTGAATTACTGGTAGTTGTTAAGTAATTACAATTATTTCGAGAATATTTGTGGGATCAGCATAAAGTTCGTTTTGAATAGAATCAATATTATGTACTTAATGAAAATACAAAAACTGGAAAATCGATTTTTTTTTAATTCTGAATAGTTATAATCCTTTATAAGAGGAATGCGATTAAGAAGAATGTGTCTTTGAATTACAATATACATTTATTAAATTGCTAGGTTCGAGTAAACTGTGATCAAGTCGTCGCAATTGTCAATACGCAAATATCCATCCGTGAGTTTTTCTTTGCAAACGGATGCGTTGCCAAGCAGAAAGTTGTCTTGAGAAAGGTTCAAGATCCTCCGAGGAATCCGAGGTTTGCCAAGTGATAAAGGAATGTGTCCTCTCATTTATGAACGTGTGAAAAAAATTGTTGTGAACCTTGAAGTACCAGTGTTTGATATTGTACGAGTTCTATGATGCAATTGCAAAGAACCTAATGTAAAATGTTGTTATAGAAATTGAAACGAGTCGAATGTTTGGAAACATCGCGCCTACGACTGTGAGTCTGGGGTCGCTTGGGCACGACCTTTTGTGCGATATATCTACTCTTGGAGTTACAAGATAATGACGACATCGCTGCAGTTCAATGATACAAACTTGATTCAATTCTCAGTTCAATTCTCTAAACATCCGATGGACACTGGGCGGAGTACTTTGGACGAGATTCAATTTTCGTGAGTGAATCATTATGAAATATAGTTGGGAGAACAAAGAGTCTGTGTGGATAAAAAACAAAGAGCCACAGATCTAGATCATTTTTGGTTACAGCATGTTCAAACAAGGAATTAAACTTACGTGGGAAGATGATGCTAATAAAAGTGGTGGGAGGTGGCTCATGAATTTAGAATTTAGAATTTAGATAGCAAAGAGTCTATGTCTCGGTTTGTTTTTTATGCGTGCAAAAATAAGTTGGAAGCGAATGTTTGATTTTTCTCGACAAAATCTATAGAAGTACGTAAAAGAAACTTAAAATTGTAGGTCCGCCAAAGTAAAGTGCAGGCACGGTAAACTGCCACTTTTAACTGTTCATAACTTCTGAACCAGTGGAATCCTCATCTTAAACCAATCATTTCCGCATTTTTTTCTCGATACAATCTATAGGATTACGTAAAAGAAACTCGAAAATTTTCGGTCCACCAAAGTAAAGTGCAGCCACGATTAACTGTCACTTTAAACTGTTCATAACTTTTGAACCAGTGGATTCCTCATCTTAAAGCTAGCATTTCTGCATTTTCTCTCGATACAATCTATAGAATTACGTAAATGAAACATGAAAACTTTAGGTCCGACAAAGTAAAGTGCAGCCACGATTAACTGCCACTTTTAACTGTTCATAATTTTTGAACCAGTGGATTCCTCATCTTAAAGCTAGCATTTCCGCACTTTTTTCTCGATACAATCTATAGGATTACGTAAAAGAAACTCGAAAATTTTAGGTTCACCAAAGTAAAGTGCAGCCACGGTAAACTGCCACTTTTAACTGTTCATAACTTCTGAACCAGTGGATTCCTCATCTTAAAGCTAGCATTTCTGCATTTTCTCTCGATACAATCTATAGAATTACGTAAATGAAACATGAAAACTTTAGGTCCGACAAAGTAAAGTGCAGCTACGATTAACTGCCACTTTTAACTGTTCATAACTTTTGAACAAGTGGATTCCTCATCTTGAAGCTAGCATTTCTGCATTTTCTCTCGATGCAATCTATAGAATTACGTAAATGAAACTTAAAAATTTTAGGTCTGCCAAAGTAAAGTGCAACTCTATATTGAATACTTATTACTTGGTTTAATTTTGAATGAACTATTACTTGTCAGAAACTAAACATATTTTGCAGTTAGATCATTTAGGAGGCACTCTGTTATCGATGAATATTATGAATGAATACTAACCGTTCCTTCTAGCATGCTTCTTTTCAAGCTCTGTGACTTGCTGCAACGGCTCTCCAGCCCTACGTTTCAGGCTGCTCGGCTGGCAACTGGCGGAATGGTCGGTGGATGAGCTCAGATGTTGGGGCGATCCGCTGTTCGAACGTATTTGGACACCGTTCTCGGGAGAATTTTGCGGCGAGTTGTACTTGTCCTGCCAGAAAGAATTTTGCTGACTGTGATATCCCATTGACGCCTATAAAACGTTTGATCACCGTCAGTTCACGGGGACGATTCGCGCAAAATTCGACGAATGGATCCATGATAAGCTGTTCATGCTCCTGTCACGATATCGACGTAATCGTCGCAAGCAATCGAGTTTGGCACGCATCCACCGAGAAAACAGCGATACACATACTTCGCAGAATGTACTCGATCGGGAAATCCAACAAATGTATCGTATACGAAGTTCGCTACGGACTTTTTATGAAATTCACGCAAGATTGTTTTCCATTCCATGTACAGGGTGTCCCAGTCTAAGTGATACAGAGCTCCAACTCCAAAACTATCGGCTGGATGCAAAATTTCAAATGCGGAAATTGCATGGTGTAAAAAATGTGTAATAAAGTGGTAAAAAATGGAAGTAGATCAAATATCTTTTAAAGCTTTTAAGAGGCAACGAAGGCCTATCATATGCAAGAAGATTCAATCCGATTGGTCAATTCGTTTCGGAATAAGAAGCAATACAAAATTTTTCGGTTTTTCGCAAAAAAAAGACAGGTAAAAAAATAAGAAATCCCAAAATTTGTTGATAATGAGACCACCCCGGAGACATGCCGTACAAGATGTAACAGGTTTCATTCCGATTGCTCAAGCCGTCTGAACGTAATCGAGTAACATACATAATAATAATAATAATAATAATAATAATAAAAAACATGTCGAATTGAGTAACCTCCTCATTTCGAAGTCGGTTTATCAAGTTTGTTATTTAACGAGATATGATGGGCAAGTTTCGTTTTCAAATGGAACTATCCCAGAATATCGGGATTCTTTCCATTTTCCTTCCTTGGGTCTAGAATCCTATGTGAGATATACATAGGATTCTAGACCCAAGAATCCGTGTCGATTTCAAGAACCGCATGATTCCGAGTTTTTTGATTGAAAATGAGCAAACTTTGAAGCGTTCTATCTTGAAAACTAATAAAAAATCAGGTAAATACATTAAAGCTTAATGAATTTGTCTCGAAAAATACTATCGCATGGTATACAAAAAAATATATACAGTGGGTGTAGAATTCGTACACCGATCAATTTACCAGTATTTTTGTGTGGAATTGTAGTTTATTAACTTCTTTTTTTATAATCGATGATGTTTTACATACTCTCGGAAGTCTCTAAGATAGATATAGTCCAAACAACATTTACTAGTTGATATAATTTGTGAAATTAACAAGAAAATGCGAAAAGTGGATAAAAATATAGAAGCAATAAGTATTTGTATGACTCTTATGACGAACCATTTACAGTAGAGTTTGTAACGTAAACACATTAGTTTATTGCTCCGTGCGAATTAGAAAACATCAAATTTCCAGTAAAGTACATTTAAACAGTTGTGCGAATATTTATTGCTTCAACATTTCTACCGATTAATTGTTCTTTTTTTCTTGTTAATTTCGCATCTTATTAGGTTGTCCCAAAAGTTTCTTTCGCTTTATTAATAAGTGATACATGCACAATATTTTATGTTTTATGTTACATTACTGTTACATATGTGCACGATTCATTTTGCTCCTATACTGTTACAACATGAATATCTATGAAATTAGATTGTCTATTTATATAAACACAACCACACAAAATAATTGAGTGCAACTCGCGACAGAAACTTTCGGGACAACCTAATACATAAATAGTTATTTTTTTTTGTAATCTATCTATTCTAGAGATTTCCGAGAATATGTAGAATGTCGTTGTTTATAAAAGAATAAGTTAATAAATTACAATTTTACTAATTTTTTTTGGAAATTGATCGGTGTACGAATACTTTCTACACCCACTGTACTTCCATTTGAAAAACGAAACATGACCATCATATCTCGTTAAACAATAAAGTTAACAAAAATTCCTTCTCGCTGAAATATGACTCATATATTTGAAATTTTGCATTCGGTCGATAATTTTGGAGCTAGAGCTCCGTGGGGACACCCTGTATAGAATAGCATACGTGGAGTAGCAGATTCGGACGAAGTAAGATGAAATAAAAGTCATGCGATGGAGGGTTAAGGGGGTGTTGTCGTCTAGAAACTTCAAAAATTCGATTTTTTTTTTTTGCATTTTCTTATCATTTGGGATTTTGAGAAAGTGCCTCTAAAATATTAATTTGAAATTCCTAGAGCTCTCATAGTTACAGAGATTTAAAGGCTGTTCACCGGAATTAGTGCTAAATGTATAGCAAACTTTAAACGCGTTTTTCTCGAAACGACATTTCTCAAGTCGAGCGCACGTTTATCTCAAAAACTATTGGACCGACTGACTTCCAGTTTTCCACACATTTCGAGGGCACCATCGCCTATGGTCTGAACTAGAATTATACCGATAGCTTGAATATTTTAGCCCTGCTCTCATATTTTAGTTGACAATTTTCCGAGAAAATTAAACCTTAATTTTCAAACAGCTGCGATTCCGATAAAACAGTTAGTACTTACTTAATTCTAGTTCAGACGATAATTACATTCATATAGATTGAACAAAAGATTTGTTTTTCTGCCTCAGACAACTCAGAACGAGCGTCTTACGGCACAACCTGCATAACAGCGCATAACTTGTATAGATTTCAATGAAGTATTTCATAAAAATTTTGTATTGTTAGTTGAAACGTGTTTTATTATGCATAAAAAAACCCTGGTACTGTAGGTTTGATAGTTTTCGCAAAATTATTGGGTTGTCCAGAAAGATCGTGCCAATTTTTAAGAAACATTCAAACGCATATTTGAATTTTGATATATATATATATATTTTGATATATATATATCAAAATTCAAATATGCGTTTGAATGTTTCTTAAAA